GCGTCAACCGAGAAATCCACACGATCGATTTCTATCGAAAAGTCTTTACTACTCGGTTGGCAACTAAGTAATCGCCGATTTCAGTTGTACGGTAAAAATGGAAATTAGCATGAACATTGACCGTGAATCTTTTACGAATATATTCTTGAGAAATGTGCGAGGCTTATCATCGCTGATAAACACAAGAAATCTTCTAGCAACTAGAATGAGAATCTTCATTGTTCAATCGAGGATTTCGAACATTTACGACAAAAATTATTAGATAAAACGGTGGAACCATTCGAAGGATCGAAACAGACTCTCGTATTATTTGTAGCTTTCGAAAACAAACGTGCATCCCGTATCTCGCGCCGAAGACAAAGAATTTTTATTTTGCGAGACAGAGACGAGTACGATCATTTTTCCCTAATTCGCACCGAGATTGCGCACGAAAATGGACAATCTAGGAAGAGGAGATACGATTATTCGAGCCGCGCGGCACGTTTTCATAGTTGTTGACAATCGGTAACTATGAAAACGAGTCGCGAAGCTCGAATAATCGTATCTCCTTTTCCTAAAATTGTTCACTTTTGGATACAATCTGAGCGTCGATTAACACGTTCCGTGCCGAGCTTTTTTTACTCGAATCTTCACACTTTGATATTTTACTAAAACTTGATGTATTACGTGCAATTATTAATTCTCGTACACATAACAACGTAACAAAAACTTATCAACGCCCATTCTTGCGGTGGAAATTGATTCTTCGGTTCTAAATTTCTTGTAAACAATTTGTTCAGTTCACTAAGTAAACATGCAAGCGTGTACCATCGATGGTACACGTGGCACGGAACGTGTTAAGAAGAATTTACTGCATTTCTCATGGTACTTCGAAAGATACTGAACTATCGATAGTCATTGATCGTTTTCGAAATCTATCGGAAATTATCGATAGTTCTCCGCCTCTACCAATGCCATGACCAATTGCTGTGCCTTTGGTTTGTGCTCGGGGAAGATCGACTTTATATTTCTCGAATATGAGAACAACAAAATTTGCGATGAGAGAATCAAATGAGCAGACAGAAACCAAAGAAAGGGATAGGACAGAACATAATGTCCAGCGCAACACTTACTTCATTGAACAAATCGGCAATTACTTAGTTGCCAACCCAATAATTTAAGTTTACTAGCATTAACAATTTCCTTGATCGGTCGCGACTATTCTTATTCCCTGTGTGTTTTCATTGATCTTCATTCATAGATTTCGATAACAAAAGAACAATATTTTGTTTCGATTTGGAAAAAAAAAATGAAAAACATACGTACATATTTGGTAGATTATGTACGAAATCACTCGTTGTATAGTGCAAGGGGTTGAAGATCGACAGGGAATGCAGTTCAGAGAACGCTGGACCGCGCTGCGTTGTCCCAAGATCGAGAAATAAATGCACTTTTTTAGTACTATAACTAACGTAAGCAACTTATCGACTGGTCGTCGTAATACGAGGCTTATGTTGAAAGAGACGGCGGGCAAGAAGACGACGAATGACAGTGTCCTCACGTATTTTCCTCGCGCAGCGTAGTTGAACTGCGCGGGAAGAGAAACGAGCGAGGTTTGTCCTCTGTCGCCGCCTTTTTAAAGCCAACAAAAATATTGTTTCGCGTAAATACGCGTCCGCGGGCCAGCCACTTTCATCTTGCCGTTTTCACACCTTTTAAGCGGTAAACCTGTAATTGTCGGCGTTCTGTTTTTTTTTCGAGGATTCTTCCGATGAACGCGATCGTTGAGGGTAATTAGAGAGAAAAGCTATGAAATTCGGAAAGATGCAAAAATCAGAACCGAAAAACCGGAAGCGAAAATTAATACAGTGGTGTAGCGAAACCGGCAACAATGATAAAGAGAATCGTGTATTTGTTGTAACATAAGCGAATTGTTATGAACCGGTTGAATTAAACGGGACTATTCATGGTGGCGAAGAAACTGTAGGTATCATGGGGTCATACACTTCAAAAAGTATGTACGAATAAACGAAGAAGTGATCCATTAGGTAGGAAGCCCCAGCTGACACACCCTGACGCTATCAAAACACGCCTTAAAACTTATATTCCTGCACGACGATGTGCTAGTGCTGGAAAAACTGTGTACGTGAGATAAAATAACAGAGTGTAGTTAACAGGCTTGGGTAAAAATATTCACGCTAGCTTCCATCTCCCCCTGCCTCTCTGCCTTCGTCGTCATCATCCCCACCATTACCCTTTCGGTCCCTTTCTACCTTCCTCTCCTTCTGCCATTATAATACCTATTTTCAATAGAACAATCTTTTCGAGAATCAAGTGCATTTAGATTAAATAGTGGCATGGAAACATTCATTCCGACAATGTCAAAATTATTTTATAAAATAATTTTGGCGTTGTTGGA